CCCCCCCCCCCCGACGCGACCTAGTGAAGCCCTGGCCGTCGATTAGACGGGTTAGTGGAAAACTCTTCCCGCCATTCATTGAAATTGGCACATAACCTCCATGCCCCCCGCCCAAAATGCACGACACCCACCTTCTCATGCATGCTGGGCTCCGAAGAGCGAAGAAGAGGTGCTACCCCCCGTCCGGTCTCAGTCTATACCAGAAAGAACAACACCGTTCCATGTTGCCGGTCTGTCGACGTTGTTCTTGTTTTGCTGTCCGCCCCGTCCCTACCCCGCCATCCCCCATCACCGTATCCGCGGCGACAGTTCGTCGTTTCGTTGGCCGCGCTGGGGACCAAGTACTTCACGGTCTCGAGGGCTGCCCGGTTCCAGCTTCCCGGCGGCACCAAGGAGACGGAAGAGCAGCGGAAGGCCAACGCCAAGCTGCCGTCGCTGTCACCCCCGCCGAAGCCGATGGATGAGCTTGTAGCACAAAAGTCTGCTGCTGCCGCCGCCGCCGCCGCGGCCGCCGCTACCGCCGCTTCTTCTTCGAAGAGAGAATCCAGCCCTGCTCCTGCTGCTACTACTTCTGCTCCCCCGGTGGCAAAGCCAGCCGACGAGGAAAAACCGGTCTCCGCAGCAGCTCCGGTCTCCGAGGCTTCTGCCCCCAAGGCATCGAAGCCGAGCGTAGCTGCGGCGGCGGCAACCGAGCCTGTAGGCGAAGAGACGGCGTCTCCTGTGTCCGAGGCCAAGACATCTGAACCTGCTACTGCGGTAGCGAAGCCAGTGGCCGAGAAAGAGTCGGCCTCGACGCCCCCAGCACCCGAAGTTTCAGCACCAAAGGCGGCGGCGGCGGTGGCGGCACCCAAGCCTGTGGTAGAAGAGAAGAAGCCCGCCCCTACGGCACCTGCTTTGGAGGTTCCCGCGCCAAAGGTTGCCGCACCTGCTGCTGCTGTTGCGGCGGAAAAGGCCGCCGCACCTCCTGTTCTTGAGGGCGCAGCGCCGGCGACGCCACCTTCGGCGCCAGTGGGTGCTGGGGAGAAGGCGCCCCAATAATGATGGCTAGCTCTCCACACGTCTGTCGCATCTTTGTTGCTCGAGACTACAGCATCATGCGTCTTCGCACAACGTTGATTTTGCGGGGTGTTGTTCTCTGGAAATGGTTGCTCCATGTGTTTAGCTTTTGAGAGGTGTAGGATAGCCTCCCTGCATAATTTTTCCAGCGACATGGTGGAAGACTGTCACGCGTATCGATCGATGTGGTTCGACCAGAAGTTCACCACCATTCGTTGCTTTGTCCTAGTTCGACATAACTTGTTTTGCATGAAGAGTTTCCAGGCGCGAGTTGCGCTTTTTGCCAGCTGGTACCATAGGCACCCTTCTCACTAGGTTCATTTATGATTTATGATGTGAAATGCGATGCGTTGTGTTGCTCTCAGCTGTACTTACTTCCTTTAACACAACTTTCATCGTGTGGGAAAAAAAAACACAGACGATGGAGCCCCCCTGTCATTCCCACCATAATCGACGCGCTCTACCGAACATTCTTCATGTCCTCACAGACTGCTCAAGATTACGCCCCCTGGCAACAAGGCAGAGATGAGACAAAAAGAGCGTGCCACGGACAATCGATCTTGCAACGAGGAACTCTCCGAGGCTTTCGCGTCCGTTGCTACCGAGACTAGTTCCCTGGCCTTTCTCCGCTTACCTTGTTGTACATGCGATACAAGCCAACACACCCACGGCGGGTTCCGAGCTAAAGCCGAATTTATTTGGGGGGGGGGGGGAACGGA